CCCGCTGCCCCACGCAACAAGATGTGGCACAAGGCCGCACTATAATAGTATTATCTTTTAGACAATTAGCCAGGATTACTTATCATGAATGGATCAGTCCATTCGTAATAGTAAGGAGGGTAACTAGTTCTTACCACAACATCTCCCATTTTGAGAGACTGTTGCGATGTGGGGTCTGGCAAGACACAACACTTAACTCGACAGTCAGATCTGAAAATAGTATTCAGTATTCAGTTATCCTCTTAGAAAATTACCCAGAACTACTGATCAGTCCGTTCATGATAGTAAGGAAGGTTACTGACTCTTGCCACAATAGTTTGAATTCTACACTCTGAAAAAAAAATGAAAACTGGCACCGTGTTTTTAGAGCTCACTTAATTCGACTTCATGTCATGTGATGTCACAACGAATCTATAATCTAAATTTGATGATCTTTCCTAAAAATGAATGGTGCCGGTACATGGGACTTGTCAAAAATAAAACATTTCTATCTTAATAATGTTGAGTTATGATAAATCTTTTTTTTTTTTTTTAATATTATTACACGTTGGAATATCTAAACAAATTATCACATAGCCAGGGACCAAATGTATAGAAGTGTGTGAAAAACTACGAAAACCTAAACTCGCTACCTTCCTTTAATTAAAATTAAACGATCGATACCTGCTCACCGGAAACGATGTGCAGTCCTTTTTGATTAAGGCCTACCTTCCATTTTGGATTCATTAATATTTTTTTGTTCACTAAGCAAATTACTCTAAATATGTACTCTTGCGGCCCGTAGCTAATTTTCTGCGAGCAATGTGGCTCTTGATATTTTTTAATTGTGCAGGTCTGATTTTGGTTTGGTTTAGTTTGTTTTAGGGCATATCAACCTCTGTGGGTTATTTAATGTCGACAAGAAATGTTCGTATGAATGGAATATGTATTAATATTTTTTTATTTTTTCAAAAATGTATTGCTGGTATTTTTACTATCAAGGTATATTTTTCTACTTTCATAAAGCTTTGACCACAGTTTAGGAGTTAACTATTTGCAAATAACTCGACCCCATCAGGTGTTACTACCCCTTGTCAAGGTGAACATGGGAACAATAACAATTAAAAGATGGTTCCACACTCCTCAAAACCTCCTGATCAAGAACCTTGCTGTCGGATACAATTTATCGTCATACCCAGGAAACCTCATATTGAGTCTTACCAGAGACTTACTGCAGTGGGTGCAGTGGGCGTATTCTGAGGCCCCAGCCGACTAGGAGGTTTGATTTAGGGACTCAAATATAAACGACTAATATTTACCTATCCGCGAACCAAATAAATGTTTAAGCACAAATATAAAAAAAAAAAAAATTATCCTATCCTTGAACCTACTAAATGCTTATTGACACGAATCTAAACGACTAATATTTACCTACACTCGAACTAATTAAATACTTATAGATTCAAACATAAATGTTCAATTTTTACCTAACCTCGAACCAAGTAAATGCTTATAGAATCAATAATAATAATAATACATTTCTTCATTAAATAACTCAGTAAGAGTCGGCGTTGTAAAATCAATGAAACCCAAACAACAAATTTTCTGCACCCCCACTAGCTTGCATTTCCGCTCATCCTTCTGTTTACACTATTCTTTCTTTACTCTGTTCTGTTTACTCTTCGACTCCGTTGATTCCGATGTCTACGCATCCCTCGATTATTATTATTATTACTACTACTACTACTACTACTAGTGTTACCGGTGCCGTCAAAAAATGATGGTTATTGTTAGAAAGATTTAATAGATGCAATTAAACAGAAGTCTTGAAAGAATATATTGAAATTCAATAAAGTGGAGATAAAGAATCCCCAACTAAAAGAGACGTCAATGAACCGTTTAAATAATCCGTTCTCTTTATATTATTTTGAAGATCAATGGCATCTATGATCCCTTGATTATTCCTGGTATCATATTAATCGCTTTTTATTTAATATCTTTTCATGTTAAAAATGTTATGTATTTAATATAATGTGAAGTGAAAATATCTCTTGCAAGAAAAAGATTAGCAACAAACCGACAAAGACTGCGACGATAAAGACAATTTCAGGACCAATTTAAGGCGAAACGATAACAATAGGAATATGAGTTTATCATATGAGAAACTTGAACAAATAAAAATCGTAGGAGTAAAAGAACTGATTAATTAAACGCTTTATTTTGCTCGGGAGCTAATTTTGTCTAAATGCAGAGAAATATTTTATTTGTATAGATTATTAAATCGACTAAGGGAAGTAATCACTCATAAATTTACTAACTTAAGCTGATTTACTTCCCTTTCCACTACAGATGGGACAGGAAATATATAAATACACATTGTTAATTACTATATAGTTTGATTATTATTATTATTATTATTATTATTATTATTATTATTGCTGTTATTCAGTAGTAATCTTAGTATTTCCTGCTTGCATATACCTCTAAGAAATTTGATGGCTACTGATGCGGACTGAGTGACAACAAGTTCTTTCAAATCTCCGGCTACTTTCTCAGTATCCTCACAAGCCCCAGCAACGCCATTGTATGAACGGTTTCTATTCCACTTGGAAGGCTCGGTTCGTTTAAGTACACCTATACTGTTTGGATACAGTTTCAAATGCTCCAACTATTATCGGTACGACCCTAAATTTAATTTTCTATATATTTCATAGCTACCATAAAAGATCTTGGTATTTTGTTTCAAGTTTGTCGTTTTCACTCTGCGTTCCACAACATCGTCCTCTTTTCTTCTATCAGTTCCATTCTCTCTTAAATGGTGGGGACGTTCTGGTCTTCATAGTCCAAAACTATATTTTCGTTTCCCCCCAGCAGCTTATTTCTTTATGCTTGTACCATTTATCAATATTGTCGAAGCTATGTCCTTTGCCCAATGGCCGGTGTCTAGAATTTTTCGTGCCTATAATCATATTCCTTATTTTGCCTATAATTATATTCCTTATTTTGCCTATAATTATATTCCTTTGAAGCCACCGTTCCGAATTCACGTATGATGTGGGTTATACTTTTGTCGTTAAAGAAAAGATATTGTTTTTTTTTTTCGGTTATGTCTATTTTTGTTTTGATGGTTTGAAATGATAAAGTATCCCGTTTGACTTTTTAGGTGTTTTCTGCACAGCCATGCACTTAATTGATTGTCTTCGCTTGCATCTAGTGATTTACTAAACTTAGTAGAGAACACTCAGTGAGAATCGAAATCACTACTCAGTCGTGATTGATCTAGCTTGCTAAACATTGCATCACGTCGAAGGGCGTAATAATGATTTACTAAGCGTAACTTAGATGTAGCACAGGGCCGCAAGTATGGATCACCTAGAGAGGATCGAACTCGCTACTCAGTCGCAATTGATTTATTGAGACAGACTCGTTAACCAACACACCACTTCAAAGTGTCCGTCTACAATTACATTTATTTGTAATTCTCCTTTTGTTGTTGTTTTCGTTTCGTTTCTTTTTGGCGTTCCTGCCTTTGCGGTGTTCCAAGTGCTAAAGAGATAATGAAAGAAGTGAGATTGTTACACCCGCCTACGTTGTTGTTATTTTTCAATTCACAATGCGACTGTCGAATATTGTCTGGTTTTGAGCAAAGAATTGCTGTAGTCATAGCGATGCAAGACTGGTCGGCTGTATCTGGTTTTCAATAGCCTGCCTCCCCCTCCTGCTATCGTTACTTAAATACCAGTTTTATTTTCAGAAAAAAAAAACGTGTAGAGCGAAACTTTAGACTTCTAATGTGTCTGAAAAAAATTAAACATTCACTGAAACCCCCCAAAAACAAGCAATTCCAGCTATGAAAAAAAAAACAGGGAATTATGCCAACGCCTCTTCGTTTCAACATATTTATTTATACTACGGGAGATTACTGAACTGTTTCGTAATACTGGTCTTCCTATACGGCAGTGAATGCTGGAAAATCTCCTCAAAGATGAAGAAATGTGAAGCAACAGAAATGTGTTTCTACTGAAGGATGCTGAGAATACCGTAGATTGAAATGTGAGCAACGATGAAGTTCTAGAGCCAATAAAAACAAGATAGACACTTTTAAATAACATCAGGAAGAAACGGTTGAATTGCATAAGATACATAATGAGGAAAGAGAGCTTGGAAAATTTGATACCCACAGAACAGATTGAAGCCAAGGGGGTCATAGGAAAACAATGCATAACATACCTAGCGAGTTTGAGTAAATGGATGGCAGAAGGTTTGGTGGAAACAGTGAAAAGACAAAATTTATTGAGAGCTACGATTGACAGGAAGATGTGGAGATCCATGATCGCCAGCGTCCTGAAGGGACACAGCACATAGAAGAAAGTATAGGTCGTTTGACACGTGCTAGGCTAACAAAATAAATAAAAGAATTGAATTATATATTATATATTGTTCTTTATACCTTAGTTCTAAAATCAGATTTCTCTTTGTTTTTGACACTGACTGTGACCTCTCGAAGACGGATCGCTCGCTCTTACGATTGATTAGTCTGCGAGTACCATGTTTGGTAGTTGGTGGTAATTGATGTTCGCTGTTCAGAATGATGGTGATGATTACGGTGATTGTCATGACAATAGCTGTAGTTGGAATGCTTGTGGTGGGCGCTTTAAGTCGTAATAAGGGTTGCTACCATTTTTGTTGGTTGTAGCAGTGATAACAGTTATGAGGCCGTTTGTTATTTTCTGGTATTAATAGTGGAAGTTGGGATGGTGGTACCATCATTTGGAATAGTAGTTGTGATAACAGTGTTGATAGTTTATGCCAAAGTGCCGACAGAAATAATCATAGAAGCTGTGGTTTCCATTAGCATTAGTAATAGCAGAAGTTGTAACATTAGCAGTACACGTTATAAGTGATGTTGGAGCGAGTCTTTTTATTTAATTCTTTTTTTTATTTAATTATATTTATTTTGGTGAGAAACGTGGTTAATTAAAACAATACTTGGATGAGTTGTAGTTGCTATGAAGTGAAAATTAAACAAGAAAGATGATGACGATGATGAGAGAAAAGGATTGAGGTTTTGGAAGAAAGTGTGTGGGAAAAGAAAGAAAAAGAAAAATAGGGATAAAAAAAAAGGTGGAAAACGATACAAAGGAAAGAAAAGATTTTAAAAAAATAAGAATAAAGAGAGGAGAAAGTGAGGAGGCAAGAAAAGAGGGTGAAGACGAAGGATAAAAAAGGGGCAAAGAAGAAAGACGAGAGGAGCAGGAGATTAAGGAGAAGGAATAAAAGAAAAAGAAATCTGGGGAATAGAAATAGAGAGGTAAAGGAAATAAGAGAGGAAGGGAGGAGAGGGGAAAAAGTGATAGAAGGAAGGAAATGAAGAAAGAAGAGTAGGAAGGGAAAGGGATAAATGAGAAAGAAATATAAAAAAAGAAAGTAAAGCAATCATGCGGCATTAAAGGGGAGGAGGAGGAGGAGGAGGAGGAGGAGGAGGAGGAGGAGGAGGAAAAAGTTGAGAGGATTAAGACCAAAAGAGAGGAAGAAGGAGAGTGTTTAGGTGACAGAAAAAAAAAACAAGGCTATAATTGAAGTGAAGAAAAGAAAGGGGGGGTGATATCTAGAAGGAAAAAGAACAATCATGAAAGGAGAATGATAGGAAGAAAAAGAAAATGACAAAGATAAATAATGAAGGAGAGAACCGGATGAAAGAGAAAACAGCGGAAGAAAGAAAGAAAGAAAGAAAGAAAGAAAGAAAGAAAGAAAGAAAGAAAGAAAGAAAGAAAGAAAGAGAAACTGTGATGGCGAATATAATAAGAAAGAAAGAAAGAAAGAAAGAAAGAAAGAAAGAAAGAAAGAAAGAAAGAAAGAAAGAGAAACTGTGATGGCGAATATAATAAGAAAGAAAGAAAGAAAGAAAGAAAGAAAGAAAGAAAGAAAGAAAGGGAAACTGTGATGGCGAATATAATAAGAAAGAAAGAAAGAAAGAAAGAAAGAAAGAAAGAAAGAAAGAAAGAGAAACTGTGATGGCGAATATAATAAGAAAGAAAGAAAGAAAGAAGGGAAACTGTAATGGCGAATATAATAAGAAAGAAAGAAACAAACAAACAAAAAAGAAAGAAAGAAAATACAATAGTAGAAATAGATAATGAAAATATTCAAAATCTAATATTGTGTATAAAGGAAAAATAGACAACAGAAGAAGAAGAAGAAGAAGAAGAAGAAGGAGAAGAAGAAGAAGAAGAAGAAGAAGAAGAAGAAGAAGAAGAAGAAACAGCAT